AACCCGTCTCCCGTCTCAGCTCGTTCTCCAAACGGTCCAAGAGAGGCAGCCCAACGGTCCCCCGGGAGTCACAACCCAAAGTGTCTGCAGCTTTGAAGCAGTTGATGGTAGACCCAGCGTAGAATTTCAACCTATGTCAACCTATGGGCTTTGACCAACCCCCCCACCCTCCTCAAGTCGAGGCTCATCCACCAGCACCTGGCACTTCAAGGATAAGGTCTCCATCCTCATTCGTCGCATCGGGCGCGACGGGGAGGGACGTCGCCGGCGAAGGGAGCCGCAGCCGTCTCTCAGGACCCGGCGACAACATGGAGCGGCGCTCCTCCGCTGAAGAGGGAAGAGGGGAGACCGAAGCGGTCTGGAGCAAAGACGAGATCTCATTCGAAGTACGTATCAGATTTATATGTACATAGATCATAAGATTTATAAACAAGATTATAATCCAATGACATCTATGTACATTCTCTGTTTGATCTAAAAATATCATAAAGATAATTCAGGTATAATATGTACACTACATGTCATTGGATGCCTACGTTCTGGGAACAGTGCAATCAACGCGAACACCCTCCGTCCTGACCCTCTGGAACTTCGACACGGCCCACCTTGCCGCGAATCCTGCGGCCGTAAGAGCCATGACAACTGGCTGACTGTAAGAGCCATGGCCTCGGCCTCCACTCCGGACGGACTTCAACAGACCCCATAGCTGGGGGCAAGGACTTGCCCCCATGTCACATGCAGCACTGCAGCATGTTTACACTGCTTGATGTGTAAATCGATATGTCGATGACTCCAAGCGAACTGCATGCGCCTCAGGCTCTTGTCAGGGTTCGCCTGGGCTGGTCCAACATCGCTCGCTTAAAGAACCGACTACCCCCACCCCACAGGGATTCGGTGGGATGGCCGATGCATCTCCAAGGTGGCCGATGCATAGATGAACATGAAGGTGTGACGGCTCTCTTGTGGTCCAAACTCTGAAGATGGGTCAGCTGGGGTGTTGATGTTTCGTCAAACCATCGCACAAAACGACCATCTGCTCCGCAAAACGACCCCACCGGAACGCACGCCTTCCGGCCCAAGCACTAAGCGTTCGGACGTAATCCTCGCCGTCCGATTCCTCCCCACGCATCATACCCCTGCGCGCCTCCTGGTTCGAGGATTCAGTCCAAAGAAGTTGAAGCGAAAAAGCCCAGCTGAATCTGCATGTTGCGCTTCTCTCTTTTTGCGACAAAGAACTTCAAGGCTCCGGAAACCCCACCGAACTAATCTTAACTACAGGATTTTCATGGCTTTCCGAGCTGCCTCTCCATGCTCTCTCAAGGCCTGCCCAGCCGCTTCATCCGCCTCCTCTCGCCCCTTCTTGGCCTCTTCAAACAGCTTCTCCAGACCTGGAAGGCTGTCATCAAGTTCATTGGCCTGTTCCTCCCTGCTATCAGCCAGCTGCTGTGCGTGCTTGGTAAAATCCTCCAAGCGTTTCATCGCAAAGCGACTCACTTCGGTCGACACCGATGACATCGTTAACAGCACGTCCGTCTCATGACATCGCCATTTCTTCAGCACGCTGTCCACCACCGGCTCCATGTCGCCCGGGCAGTCTGGCTTCTTGAACCAGTAGGGTTTGTTGATGAAAGTCTGTTTCGAGTTATAGAAGTCATCTGCAACCTGCGCTGCCTCCTCCAATGCAGCACCTTCTAAAGGCTTAGAGGCGGTAAGGTCGGCCAAGCCCGTGTACTCCTTGAATTCGGCTGCAGCTTTCTGGCGCTCAACTTCAGAGGCATAGGGATCAGACAAAAGAAACTGATAGACCTGAGCTGCATGGGAAACCTACCACACTTGGTTTACCACAGCAAGCTTCAGGCTTCAGGAACCCCCTTGAAACTCAACTTGTTGATTGGCCCTCCAAAAAACCTTCCACAGAATGGACTCCCGGCACCTCAACCCTCCGACCTGAGACCGGGGGGATACCGGGAAACGAACAGCTGTCCAGCTTGCCCGGCCTTGGCCCGGCCTACCCCTTTGGCCCGGCCTTGGACAGTGTGGCCCGATCAAAGTTCGTCCCGGCAGCCACACAACAAAGGGTGCCGAAGGACTCGACACGCGCTGCCAGTGCAGACGGGTACGCCGCGCTCGCCAGCAACAGCAAGCAGGCGAAGCGACTCATGGATTGTGCAAATGAACGAAACCCAGCGAGGCAAGCTCTCGACTCTTCTTGACTGGAAAAGGGGCACGGAAGGAATGCCAATGATGTCAATGTGTCGTCACAACCCAAGATCACCAACACCACAAAGACTGGGATGCCATGCTGCTCAACCCAACTTCGGTCTTCCTCCTGGGTGCCTTCCACATACCGGGCCAGGCCAACTTCTTGGAGCCAATGCACAAACCCGCGCCTTCCTCTCTTTCGCGTCTTTGGCCGCATCCGCGGCGGCACCAATGAAGGCTTCACCCAAATCCTGCCGACGGGTGTGTGGCCGGACGAGTCCGGCCGCCACATGGGGTGCGACCGCGCACGGAGCGAGCGCGCACGGAGCGAGTCCAAACAGCCACAGGTTTCGTCTGTAAACAGCGCCCTGATGTTTCCGGACTGATGTGGTCGATATCTTCAGCGGGTTTCTCCCCGAAAATGCCAAGTCGGACACCGCCTTCAGACGTGGCCCGAGTCTGGTGGCACCGAGCTTAAAAAACCGTGACCCGCCCATGATGGGCCCATCAGGGGCGCGGGGCCTCTCCATCGTTCTCGCAAAGAAAACGCCCCCGCGATAAACGCGCGAGCGCAAACCGCTCCAGCAACTTGTTCAGGTGGTAGGTGTAGAAGTTCCCCGACAGCTGCCGTCTCGGCGGCCGGTCCAATCTCTGAGGACCATGTGACACACAGATGAGTCATTACAAAAAAAAACCGTGAGAATCACAGGGGTATGCTTCAATGGCAGGGAGAAAAAAGGATCCATTTCGTTGCACAACGCGATATAATATAGTCACATAGTCCATCTGAGCTCGGGTGGTTGGTAACCCCAAGACAACACATCTGATTCATCTGACCAACTCTGAAGATGCTTCCGCGCCGTGTTTCTGGACACTCAGATGCTAGCATGGCGTTGGTATTGCCCACCACCAGCAGGAGAAGAGCCTCAAGAGAGGTGCGAATTTAGCAGCTTCTTCCCACGCTGCGCTCAGCTGAGCTCACAGCTGCGCTTCTGTGGTCTGGACCAGTGTGGCTCGCTGTGCTCACACTTGACCTTCTCCCCTCCATCCAGTCTACGGACGACCCCACCATCCGCACGCGGCCTGCAACGCGGCGTTCAGGAGGCGGCCCACGCTGACCTGGTTCCGCGCGGGCTTCGCGAACGAAACGGCCAGGGCTTCGGCGGAAGCCGAGCGCTCCCGCACCGAGAGGGCACCGTGTGGCCTTGACCATCTGAAAACGGCGCCCATTGGTGCGAAGGGTGCGCCAATTCAGAATGGAAATGGGCGGGGAAGTTCATGCCAGACTGGCCCAGGTGAAAGCTGGCCGTGGCAATCATCGGAGTATTGGTGAACCCAAAGTTGATCTCTGCCAAACCCATGTCGGGACACCCAGTTGAGGGATGAGCCACCCAGTTGAGGGATCTCCCCAGCTACCTCGAGCAATTCCGCACCTCTGAAAGAACCCCCTTAGAATGAACTATCACAAGTGCACAGTCGTCCTTCCGCACACTTTCACTCCCGGACTTTCCCAGCGGCACGATGGATAAAATATGAAAAAAGGATGGGTCATCATGATGGATCATGATGCATTGACGCGACCCGGTTGACGCGTCTTCACACGTTCACGCGCCCCCGCGTCTCGCCAGCATGTCACCGGCACTTGCTCCAGCCTCCAGGTCCAGCAGCTTTTGCCAGGCCTCCGACCGGGTCGCCGGTCGATCGTCGGAAGGCATTCGACCGGGACCGATCAGGGAGCTGCGTGGCGGGACCGCAGGTGGGGAGAAGGTTTGGGCATGACACCGAGCATGAACAATGAGGATGCTATCTATTCATATGATCAATCATATCATATGACCTAGCATGATATGAGATGAGGTCCGCTCATATCTATTTTTGTTCACCGGTGAGATATGAGATGAGATGAGGTACGGTCAAAATTAATGGTTTGCGGCTGATATGAATGCATCACGCTTCTGCAATCGCAATCCACCCATGTGCTTGGACCGCCAGCTGATCCATCTCATGATCGCGCGCCTGTCGGAGCTCGATGTTGGCCTGGACCTTCAGAATGCGCTCCTTGAGTGCACCACCCAACTTCCCAAACATGTTCACCTTGGATGGGGCACTGGAAGTCTTGCTTCGGACAGGCTGTGACGATGCTCTTGCAAGGTCGGAACAAGAAAGAGAGTTGCTTTAAAAGGAACTATATAATTCTTATAGTTCATGGGTGTTCCTCTAATCAGTTCTTGAGCCGAACACCTCGATCAACTATATAGAACATAACTAACGGCTTAGCTGCTAGGCCCACCAGTCGTCCACTCCTCATCGCACTCATCTCCCGGCTCAGCTCCCAACAGCTGCACGATCTGGACGCCCCAGTCCCATGTCCAGCTCATCCTGCCGCTGGCGCCTCATCGCGAGGATCCGAGGTCTCGGGTTTCCTCCCATGGTTTGAAGATTTGGTTCCGCAAACCTACAAGATTTGGAAAGAAAAGCATGCACTTTCCGTCACAAACAAAACCTTTAGCTTGGGTCCATCGTCTTACACGGTCCCCACGGTTCAATCACGTGACCAGACCGGTCGCGACAAGGGCCGTGAGCGGGGTGGCCGAACTGTGCTCCGGGCGGTCGTGCTGCTGGGGGGCGTGCTGCTCCGTGTCCGTCGATGGCCGTCGTTTTTGCAGGGAAAGCAGTACACCGCAGATCGGAGTTCCAAAACACCTCGCCTCGTACCTGGCTGGCCTCGTTCTGGTCGGGTGCCGCGGCTTCCGCACGGAAAGCGGAGGCCGTTTGGCCCCATGTTGACCGGTCGCATCTCACAAAAGCCATTCGGAGCATCGAGTCTTTGAGGGCGAAGCGACGCTTTGTGGGAGCCAAAAGTGATCGAGACAAAGGACCAACAGCGACATATAGAGCAAAGAATAGGAATTCAGCATCCCTGGAATCCTGTCAGCAAATCTGTCATGAGCCGCGCACTTCCCTTCGGCTTCTTTGAGCTTTTCCTGGAGGAGCAGCGAAGCAACTCGACATGAAATCGCTGTATTTCACAGGATTCTCACACAGCTGAAGCGGCGTTTGACTAAAGCAGGTCTGCCCTGAGATAAAGCGCGTGAAAGGGTGAACTACGTGGCTGCCTCGTGGAAGTCGGCGATTGCTCTTCTTATGAAGATACCCTCGATCTGTATGCTGGCTATTTGCATGGACTTGTGCGTGTGAACTCAAGAAAAAGCGGAGCTGTGTTTCAGAAAGCCGAAACCCACTCCCCACTTCTGACCACACTCCGCTCGTCCACTCGTCCTGCATCAGCATATGAGCACGGTTCGTCATGGTTCTAACCTGGATCGGAGTGGTCCGATCTAACGTGGACCACCGAACTGATGAGACAAGGCTTTGCAGAGACAAGTCAACGGACCTCTTAGACTCTTCTCTCACCTTGAACTACTGTAGGTCTACCTTATAAATCAAACTGCAAATTGGTAAAGGGATGCAAGAGGCCAGGAGTTCCGGATCATTTCGCTTTTGTCTCTAAATGGTTGTGAGCTAGCACTGACAGGCAACCCTCATATCATATCCGACAAAGCAAAAAATCGCGGCAGTGGCAAACTAATTGTTTAAAGAAGAGGGTGTCCGCTCCGATTCCTGCTGTGAGATCTTGCCCAAAACCCATATTTCTCAAGCGATTCGAACAAGAGAGAAAAGAAAAGAACACATCATTGGTCATGGATTCGGTCCACACAGCTAGCACTTTCAAATCTTTCAAGGCTTCGACATCCTTCATGTAGAGACACATGATGTCCACAATGATCTCCACCCTTGAGTGTTCCGTCGGCGGATCGAAGGGCGTTCCGTCTGCGCACGCTGACATAAGGTCCTGCATAGCTGACATATGCTGCGATACATTGTGCTAGGGGAGTATCCACTGATTTCAGCAAGACAACTACAAGGATTGTTTGGGCGTGCCCGAAGGAAGGCTGCCTTCATGTGATGCTACCACAATTGACTCTTCATGATCACATTCAAAACAGGGAAACTTCTGTGGGGTGCTCCGCGCTTCACGAGCTGGCCAAAGTCCAAAGCCCTTCGGGTTGCCAGAGCGTTGCCGCCTTGCTACTAAGTGCTGCACGCTCCTTCCCGACAAAGTGTGTTCTGACTGTCCCGATGCGCTTTCACGCGTACCTGACACACATAACAAACAGCCAGGTTCTCTCCCAGGTTGGCCATTGGCCTGCCCTCTGCCACAGGCCATCTGACCACCAAGCTCGACTGTCCTGTCCAGCTGTGTATTGCAGCATCCGACATGTTCTGGCTCCTCTGACCCAAACCGGCTCATTCCGCGAGAGGCCAGGAAGTTCCCACCCCCAACCAACCCCGATGAATTCAATTCATTCCCACCAAAGCAAAACTCTGAACATTCCTCACCGTAGCTCTGTATTGCGGACCTTTCAACCACCTACCAGGATCATCATGGATCATCTGCCACCTTCACTCGGACCATCTCGCGGTGTTTCACCCCGGGTGTTTCACCCCGTCCGATCTCTGACGCCTTCGGCTGAGGCTGCGGCCGGCATCAACTCACCACTCTCCGTGGCCGTGCAGGAGCAGAGATGGCCGATGAGCAAACATCCAGCCTCCGCCACTTCGGGGCCTCGGAGTGGAGCCGACCCGGAGCTGCAACCCACCGGAGCTGCCACCGGGGGCGCTTTCGGGCCGTCGCGTCAAGTGTTTAACGCTGCGCCGCCCGTTCGTCCTAACGCGCATGGGAGGATCCGGTTTCTGGGACGTCCCCGGCAGGCCAGGTGGCGTTCCATGGAGCGCATCACCAGTTTCACGTTGTCCAAATTGTCTCGCATCAACGCCTGAACGACTCGGCCGGGCCGGGCATCGGGTCTGTGGCAACGGGGGGTTCGGCGTGAAACACGCGGAGGACCGCGGAGGACAAGTGTTGGTACCCATGCGGAAAAGTCACTGAAACGATCAATTCGTCTCTTCAGTCTTTGGTCTGGTGGGTCGTAGGTTACTGAAAAGCAGCATTGGCGGGTCGTAGGCCATGCATCTGGAGGGAGGTCTACCAACCTTTCCCAAGCATGGTGATGATCACAGGCGAACACAGAAAGAAAAAGGAATGTGGAAGTGGAACTCCAAAAGCACAGCAAAAATGAACCTCTCTTTGTTTTTGATCATATGCGGTGTACACTTGGTTGAAGCACAAGACATCACACAAACAAGACATTACACAAAGCAACAGGTCCCAGGCGTTCGGAGCTGGACCCGCCCGACGGGTGGATGTTACGATGTAAAATACCAAACCAATAAGCTTGGCACCTCTGCTGCCAGCGGTGCATTCTCAACACTGGCTGCAAGCAATCGAATCTCAGCACGAGCTGCTGCGCGGTCCAAACTCACATCGAGCAAAACATCGAAAAACGGATGTTTGGGACGTTTTCCCTTGGGAAAAAAAGTCCAGGTTTAGAGGGCCATCTTGGAGGATCTCATGCTTAGAAGGTCCGCAGGTCCGTTCATGTCGCCCGAGTTCTGTACCACTTGGGCGACGATCCGCTCATCCTCAGACACCAAGGAAGCACAAAACTGGAACGCGATGCCACTGACATGGTAGCGCTGACATGCGCTGACATGCGGACCTCACACAAAAGCTCGGAGCGAGGCGTGGAGCCGGAGCATCATCATGTGACAGGCCTGGTGATGAACTCACGTCGGTCGCCCGTGACGTACGGCGTAGACGGGCGACCGCCGCGGGGGCTTCCGGGTGTGTCCACTGAAAGAGACCGGACCGTGCAAAGCAGAACCTTCCACCTGTCCAAACGGCCAGTCCTTGACATGCATGCCAGCATGCATACATACATATACAAACAACTATATACTGGTCCAAAGACCTAGTAAAAGCTAGTCCTTTACTTCAGTGAACAATATTTCTGTATGATCAACTTCAGTCAAATGAAGTCCTTGACCTGTAGGGATATGTTGACCATGTATGATCTGGCTGCTGTCACCGCTGAGGCTTCGCACGTGTCGGGATCCACCCATGCGAACAAATGCTTGCTGCAAGTCCACCTCAGCCAATCGTGGCACCACGTGCGTCGGCACCACATGCAAAGAACACCCGCAGCGGTAGGGCGGCCGTGGAGCCTGTGTGGCTTGCACCTGTCTATGCAAGGTGATCGTCGTATCGAAGGTGGCGCGCTTCCACATCCAAAAGAGTGCCATGGCCAAACCACCTTATCATCCAAAAGAGCGTTACATGTTGGTCATGGAAGCGTCACTCCCGCGGCCGGTCCACTCCCGCGGCCAGACCCCGATCTGGTAGCTCTATTTGATATTTACGTGAACTGGACAAATGGCTACCCAATAATCTTCAGAGGGGACAGGTGTTCCCTGGTTTTCCAGTGGTTTTTAAAGGCACCTGCTCCACCGCCAAAAGGCACCTTTTTGGATTTCCAGGCAGCGGCACAGCCTCACGCCGGGCGCCTGACGGGAGGGATCCTCACCCAGTCCGGAGCTTCACCCAGTCCGTTCAAGTTAGGTGTCGGAAAAAAGGGTTGAACTCCTCGAGTCTTGCAGATGTTCAGTGGAACATAGTGGAACTGCCGCTGTTTTTCGGCCTCGTTTTGTGTGCAAAAAACGATGAAAGTTGACTCATGTATATAATGGTGTCCAACTCGAAGAGGGTGCTTGAGCAGCGGTCCGAATTGGTCCATTGATTGGTGACCCAAAAGCCACAGAGAGACATTGTTGCGCCTGGAGGCTCCGAACCCAAAACAACAAGGGGGGGCTTTGTCTCACAGGGAATCGCTTCAAACCTGGTAGAGAAATGGACTATACACTATACACATTCCAGGTGGAGAAGTCTCCTTGTTAGAGGTCTCCATTGGTTGGGGAATCTCAAATGGACTGGTAGACAGCACATCCCCGAGACACTGCGACGCATCTTTCGGCGGCCAGGCGGCCGGCCTTCTTTGTGCGCCTCCTGGTACACAGCAAGCAGGTCTCGACAAATGTCCTGGCATTGCTTCTGAGGAGAGCCAAAGTTGGGGAGAAAATCGATTTCCTCAATTAGGCCGGAATCTGTAATGACTCGAAGACACTCTAAAACCAGCTGCTGTGATGGTTCAAACCTTTTTGCTACCGCAAAGAGCGTTGTTTGCGAATCGTCTTGCACGGAACTGATGAAAGCAGGACCGTGAAGGTGTTCAAACGACTCGCGTGATCTCTCTCAGATGCTTGTTGCCTCACCATCGCAACTTTCGGCGATGGCAAGCATGGATACATCTTACCATTTCTCCCAACACTGCGATTGAGGCAATGCAGAGTGGATTCATAGCACACAGCACGGCCCCACGAAACTGCCCGTGCACCAGCCCCGCTCGACGACGAGAAACACCAGCCCCCATGGACCCCACGCGGGAACCGTGCCAAAGCAGCCGGGAACGGCCGGCCCGCACCTCGATCTCTTCGGCTTCCTGGCCCAGCCCCAGGAACTCTTCCAAGCGCGGCTCACGGAGCAGGTGATCCAACCTGACCCGGTACCGCCCACGTGCACCGCCCATCGCCCCCCGGTGGTCGATCGGAGGAAGCCAACTGGGCGTCGTTCTCGTCTTCGTGCGTTCGGCTTCATTCGACCAGACCGGTTGACGCCGACCAGACCGGCAGACGCTGAAGATGTTGGACTTCCTGGAAGCAGCTGAAGTCGCCTCTTTGGGGAGATGAACAGGGTGAAGAACCGATAAGACCCCCAGTGAACCACCGCAACCGCGTGCTGCGGTCGACCCAAACGCATCTAAAAACGCCTCTCTGCCAAGGCTTGAGCTTGGAGTTGCAGCTCGGGCACCTGGCAGCTGTTTTACGTGCACCGGGGCCAAGAGCACCGGGCCACGCGTGGGTTGGACGGGGCGTGCGAGCGACGGACTGCAGGGTTCTTGTTTGGTGGCACAAAACGTCGGTTGGTGGGGACTGCAAGGATTGCGCTGCGAAACCAAAACGAGCAGTTTGCAGTGAACATGGAGCGCTTGTAGGGAACATGGGCGGCAGCTTTGTTGGATTTGTTATCCTAAAGCTATCTCAGTGCTGGGACCAGAATCATTCGGCAAACTTCATCGGTGAATTCTTCCAGTCGCTAGCAGTGCCGGGGAACTTCTATCGCTGAGGGCCATGGGTGGCCCCATCCGTGGCCGAAATGATTTGACATGAGAATCGATCAAATCAAGGGGCCGTTCAGACCCAAAGCCAGGCAGTCCAGACATCAACATCTTGGTTTGTGCCCCACCTGGTCCATTCAACGTCAACGTTGGGAGATCCCCAACCAGGAGTTTCAAGACACAAAGTCTACTTTGTTGATACTCTGCCCAGAGTCTACTAGATACTAGATCTAGCAAGTCTAGCAAGTCCATTGAAAGACTTTGCCCTGTGCCACATCACTTCAACTGGTCACTGGCGTGTGATGTTTCCCAATACAGAGCCCCAGAAACTTTCTCCCCCTTACTCCGAACACATTCTCCCTTGTACAAACACCGGGCGCAAGAAGGAGAGGACCCCGCCCGTGGCACGTGCCCAGGAGAGCCCCATTGGGCTCGCACCCGGCGGCTCATCTCGACGCTCAGGAGTAGAGCTGCCAGGGCCAAGCGATCGGGAGAGGCCATGGCGCAAAGCTCACCTGGTCCGAGGCAGCTGAGAAAAAGGAACACATGAGGTCATGAGGTGTGACAAAAACTCGAACCAACGTGTCTTTAATCAAAGGTCGAAGAGATTCAAGTTGAGTTTCCCCCCCGTTCCCCCGGCTGCTGACCTGTGTGCGACTGGTGGGTCTTTTTCGGGTTGCGCAGGTCCCTATGGTCCGGCCACGTCAAGCGTGATTCCAATGTCCTCATCTCGCCCAGGTCTATCGGCCCAGGCACATCGAAAGGCATCATTCAGAAGCGTCCAGGCCAACCTCGAGCCCCGCCCGGTTTCGCCCACTCGTTTCTCATTTCAGCGAATGGATTGGGTTGGACCAGGGGCCGGGCTGGAGGACACCACCTTCGCAACTGCCTAACATCCAGGCAAACCTCGGTGCCACATGACAAGAAACACCATGGTGTGGCTCCATGAGTGTGGAGAGATTTCAAGAGACTGGCCCTGGTTCTCTGCCCCAGTTCGAGACAACGACAAAATCGACCGATTGTGCCCTTGCTGAGAGGCCGACTCTGTGAGGGAAGCCTGGTTTCATGGCCAATCTGAAGTGAAATAGCCTTCCTCTTGTATAATAACTGAGCATGGAAGGGAAACAAAGGGAAACCTGGCACGCTCTCCGCTTTGACTCCGAAAAGCATTCCAGGCTTTTAGGTGTTGCCACGCCTGGCACCTTCCAACCCTGGCCACCAACCCTGGCCACTAACCGGGTACAGTAGCGCCCTGGTGTCCGTGGACCCGGCATAGGCGGAGGTCAGCTCCACATCGAATCCCAGGCCGCGAAGTAGGACCTCGACCGGCGACGGAGACATCCCGTCTCCCGTCTCCCACGCGCCAAACGGTTGAAACAGGTGCCAAACACCAGAAAGTCTGGACTTGAACTCTCCTGCATCCCCACTTGGTGTCCCACTTGCTCGTGCACCACCACTTCATCTCTGAGAGACCAATACGCCTGGCGAACAGACCCTACACCAGACCCTCCGACGCCGAGACTGCGCGCTGGCTTCGGAGTGCCAGCAAACATGAGCTTTTCTAGAAGGGAACGTGGCAGAAATGTCCAATCCACTCCGTCCAGTCGGATGGCTATTTAAAAGTTATTATGGTCGTTTCCATTCGCGAGGTTTTGTAAGATCCAGCCGCACTGTCTCACGTCTTTGAGCATCAGGCTTCCATGGGCATACCCTTCTCATCAGCTTTCTGCAGGAAGATCTGACAGGCGCCCAAACTGAAACTTCTTTCGTCCACATAGACACTGTGGGCAAAAGGCAGTGACGAGAACAAATCCCCCCAAACTCTTGAAATCTGCTTGTCGACCACTAGCCAGTTGCTGGCCCCAAGATCCTCAACTCCAAGATCCTCAACTCCTGGCCCCACGACCGTGCCTCGAAACCATTGACGATGTCTCGAAGTCGGCAAGAAGCTTCCCTGACCTCGGAAGGCGAAACCGGTCTTCCTCTCCTTCTCGATGTCTCGGTCTTCCAAACCCGCATCGCGCTGACGGACCTCCATCCCCTCCAAACCGGCCACCTCACTCCTCCATGGTGGCGGATGCCAGGAGAAAAAGACAGAACACCGATGTTTGCCGCACCGAGTTTGCGAACGGTCTGCCATCCAGGTGCTTTGGTGGCCAGCCAAAGGCTAGCCATGGCCAAGCGGTGATGATCCACGTCGCCTGGCCGGGTTTTTCCGTCCGGAAGGAGTCGGAGAAGGAGTCACGGTCGGAAGATGGGGTGGTCTTTTCGTTCGGAACGGCCGAACGCGGAAGTCGTGCTGCAGTTCTTGGATCCTTGGGGGATTGACCTAGAGGAAGCTGGCTTTACATGAAGTCCTGGCAACTGGAATGCACAATTTCAAGGTGTTTCTTCTGAAATTGCGGTTTGGTGCTAGCGAGACGACAACTCATGACAGCAAAGGTTCAAAAGCGAGGCAACTTCAACTTGAGAAGAGGGATACACGAAAGGTAGGACAGCGGGAGGAGAATAGAAACATGTAAAATATGCAGTGTGGTGTTGGTGGAGTCAGTCAAAGGTCAACTTAAGAGTGAGGGAAAAGACCAAAGTTTGAAATATATATATATATATATCTATCTATATATTAATCCTCAACGACAAGAAGCACTAAAAACAACATGTCATGTCTCTTCATGGACTCAAAAACTGCCCCAAGCTGAGAGTGCTCAACACCAAATAACCATCGAGGTGATCCACTTCGGGATGATTATTGATCCGGAGGAGCCCACACTTGCTTCGCAAGACAAACTCAAGGTATCCCCTGAAGGGCTACCTTTCGTGACCAGAACTCGCACATCACAGAACCATCATTGACATTCAACTCCAAAATGCGAGCCGGAATCTTGGAAGCTAGGTTCTTGTTCCCATTTGTGTATCTCGGAAGCTCCTCACACGGGGCACGGAGAACCATGAGAGGACATGACACTGTGAAGCCGATGATAGTACTGCGAAGCCGATGACGATGTTGATCCAACACCGGTCAACCATCCCCAGAGGGTGTTGGATCTTTTCGTTGCCCAGTCTGATGCGCGAAGCTGCGATAGTCTATCCAAAAGTTAACGAATATTCAGAATGTTGGTCGTCTATATCTGCGTGGGACCTACCCCACTAGGTTGAGAAATAATCATCTTCGAATCACCTGAGACTGAGACTTCAAAAATTCACTCCCCAGCCCACCAACCAGCCAGAAGCTTCAAGCTTTTGCTACGGCGCCTTCCCGCTCAGCCAAACAAAAGCGCTGGAAGAAGAAAGCTCCACTCGCGGTGGTGACCTCCAAAGGGCATGAACACAAGGCGATCTAAAATTCATCAGTGTCCGAGATCGGGTCTCTTTTTCTCTATCTCTTCGACCGTCGGTGGGGCTAGGACACCATCACTCTATGTTTGGGAACGAAACGGCGCAGAGTGAAATCACCATTGGCTGTGGTCAACCCTTTTGACCTACCCCTGAAATTCACAAAGGTCTCCTCATGATTTCGAAGGTGGAGAACATCGACCCGTAGTGTGAAGTGTGTGTCGACTGAAGCTGCAGCTTATGGACCTTCCAAGATTTGGCATCGCAAGCACCTCATCTTGCCAGGTGTGCAAAGTGTGGGTCCATGGTAGCGGACATCAAACCTAGTTCCCAAATGTTCCCAAAGCATCATGGGATGTTCAAGTCATCCAAGTGAGTTTTACCATGTTCATGTGGGTTGATCCCACTCCTCCTTCCTGCCAATTCATGCATGGCACAGTGTCAATCCCAAGGTCGCTGGCCACCCACCAAATCATCTTGCCCCAGTATCGCCTCACGCAGACAAGGTCGGCCGGCCCGATTCGCTGCCTCACGTTGCCTCGCCTTCAACCACCGACCACCGAGCCATTCCCCGTGAAAACCGGGGGTTCCCTCGGTCGGGGCACGGACGTGGCGCCCCTTCAGGACCGGGGGTTCCACACCGTGGCTTAGACGATTCCATGGATTCCCGGAATACCATGGGCACAAGTCCTATTTTACTAACATCATGATGCTGCCTGCCCCTTTGGGTCGGACGAGGGACGTGCCCGTTGAACAGCGATATGTGCACGTTGAAAAATGGACCCTTGAGTCGAACCTTTTGGCCACGAGTCATTTGATCCATTTTGAAGGGGCCGACTATGTCCGACTCACACGACTTCGGTCGGCAAACTATGACAAGTTGTCAAGTTTTTTTGATGTGGTTTTTGTGGTGAAGAATTGGGCCCTTCGTTGCACATGACAATGGCAGCTGCAATGGCAATGACATTGCAGGTTGCCAGGCCTTTGCATGCGTTGATGGCCCCGCTCATGGTGCCCAGGTCGTAGCATTTACTGGGATGGACAAGCCTCTGGGTATTTACGGGCGGCGCCACCTATGGCCGCCAAACCCAGATGGCCCCACCTGTGGCCCTGACACTTGTGTATTCCAGCGTGCGGCCCCGCAAGTCGTGTTATCTACAGCACGCCCCGCCTTTGGTGATTGTAGCCCGTGTGTGGCCCTGCTATCCCTGCTATTTACAAGAGTGGCCCCGCTCACCCCACATGGGATCTAAGAACTTATTAACGGGTGGGGATCTAGCGGGGGAAAGGCCGTGTCTTTGATGCAGTCTTCTATAGCGTTGTATCAGGGGCTGCTTCCAAACGGTGGCAATGCCATTTCTTTGCGTGGGTTTCTGTACTGCAGCAATTGGGATCGCACTGGACCAAGTAAGTGATTCTGCGACGCCAAAACAAGGCTGTGGCTGCTAAACCTTGAGCAACAATAACTTCAGTGTGGAGGGTCCTCATATAAATCCCCTTCTCGCGGCTTGTGAACATTGTAAGGGACCTTCGCATTCTTGTTGCAGATTGCTCGTTGGCAACAGGACTGCTAAGCCTGTGTGAGTAGTTTCTGGACCGTCTGCGTGAAACAACCCACTGAAACGGAAAAGCAAGCCCCAAGCAAAACAGTTTCAAGGGCACAATCTTCATTTCAGGGTCTCATGATACACTCCGGGACCGGATGAGATCAAAGTGCAATTTTGCCTCTCGCGCAGTCACAAGTGGCCCCTTCCCTTCCAGGATAGAACAGTTCAACCACTAAAACTGGACTGTTAACTTTGGATGTTTGCTGGGTGGACCTTGCAGTTCCCGGCACTTGCGCCCACCCTTCCAAACGCATGTTGTTCCGGGGCTCTCTCGACTCAATGGCGTAGAGAAGGAGGGCGTCGAGGGCGTCGCCATGGCGCCACGCCAGAGTCGTTGGATGTGAAATTGGATGGGTTGCCTAGCAGGTGGGGCATCCTCCATTTGTTCCAACCTTTCTTTGGCAAAGATGTTACTTGGAGTGATCCCCACCCTCAAGGCGACTTGGAAGAAAGCAGGGCACATGTATTGACAGACTATCCTGACAAAGGTTGCCTGACATGCGCATTGATACTATGTTCTGACACTATGTCTGGCATCACGTCCGGTATGTGCTCTGACACCGACTTTTGTTCTGCCATCAAACCTGCCACTTGCTCCGGCCAATGTTCTGACTGGCATACCTTCTGACATCCTTTCTGGCATATCTTCTGGCATTCTGTCTCGCAGCTAGAACAGCTTACGACATTCTAGCTAGATGCGTCCGGATGGCAGGAAGCTAGCTGGGGATGGCCTACACCAGGAAGCTGCGGACGACACGCCAATGATGGATGGCCGATGTACCACGACTACCGAGAGGCTCGGTCGTGGAATGAGCCGTGGTCCTGGCGACCCCAAGGATGGTGGGATTCACAGGATCCACCTCAGGAACAGCCTCGAGGGCCGTGGCAGCGCAGGCGGAGCCAGAGGCGGCTACGACGTGCCGGTCTTCGAGTAGTCGGTGGTGCGGCCGGGGCTGTTCTGGACCCGGTCAGGACGACAGCACCATGGTTCGTCAGGGCATGGTTCTACGCTCGGTCCGTGTGGAACGGCATGTCTGCTGCCATTCTTTCTAGCATACAAGTATCTTCTGACATTTTACCTGGCATATTCTGGATCTTGCATCTCTTCTGACATTCTTCCTGGCGTTCTATCTGGTACTCCAACTGGCATATGTCTGGCATATCCTCTGACATCCTTCCTGGCATTTTATCTGGACTGCAGGTCCGTGCGTGCCCAGACTGAGCTGGCACTCTTTATGGTGCACTCACTGTGACATGACGACATGGCAGGAGGAGGACAGAGGACAAAGGACGGAGTATGAGGATGGATGGCGGAGTAAGTACGAATGACGGGCGGCGGAGTAACAGTAACACCTTTGTTAAATCTGAAGACCCTACGCATCTCCAAAAGGAAACCAAGAGACGTCACCAGACACCTCGGATGTCAACTGGTGTCTCTTTGGGGTCACTGTCACTCCATTGAGTTGGTCGTTTTTTCGCTGGTCTTTCCGGCATCTTGGACCAGTCGGTGGACCGACTCCATTCTGATGTGCCTGGCCTCTTCTCAGCAAGAACAAAGACTTCATGGCAAGCCCCCATTGTTGTGCCACGCATTTGACCACCCTAAAATGATTGTACTGGGCTGTGCGTTGAGGTCTTCTGTATACCACCAGATCGTCACAGCCGTCGTTCAAGCAGGAGACCTCTCGATCGTGTTTGAGACAGCCCTCAACAGCACGCTTACTACTTGAAGCCTGACGTCACAGCACACCTCATCCATCTCATCAGCATTGCACTGGCGGCCAAAACGGAAACAGCTGAAACACACTTCATGTTGGACCCGCTGTTGGAGGCGCAAGCGCCACAACGGGCGCGTTTGATGGGGCGCCCCGGCTCGTGAAGGCTTCTCATCCTCAACCCGCGGCGGCAAAAATGCTGGCTTGAAGGCCTTCAAGGCCTCCCTTTGACAAGACACTGCCTTTGACACCATAAGTAAGACACCAAAGTAGAAGGGAGATATATAAGTGGGGAGACCCACCCTCAGTGTATTTTGGCCATTCCAGAATCTTTGGGGGATGGAATTGACTAGGGCACAAGGATCATCACACAAAAACCAGTCAACACAGTCTGTGCACGAACCCCCAAGACCTTCTATCCCAGCAAGACACTAAAGCTAGAAAGGAACCCTTCTCCCACCCCACCCCACCCTGCCCTGCCCTGCCTCCCCACTGAACCGAAAAAAACCGAGGGCGAGTGCCTTCCGCTCTGCTGCGAGGCATCGGGACATGGCCACGCACAGCTGCAAGCACACCTCGTCCGGTCGTCCGGTCGCTGGGTCGTTGCTGTCGACCGGTTTCGGGTAGCGGTCCGTGCGCGGTTTCGTGCACGGTTTCCGTGCACGGAAAACGGACATCGTTGACCTGTTTCTTTGGCAAAAAACGTATTCCCTCCTGAGGCATCCTGAGGCTATGCCAGAGCTGAGCCCCTGGGAGCAGTCCAATAGTAAATCATCAGCACTATTCTAGGGGCCGTGCCGGGGGGGATTTGATCCAGGGCGGACAGGAAGGCCCGGCCGTTGATCTTCACATCTCTTTATTTATTGGCAAGAGCCCGACGAATGCCCCGCCGCTGGTGAATCTACGCAAGGCCCACGTGAAATTCCTGGAGAATGGCGATAATTTCATTGAAACCATGGCAAGCCTGCTGTGGAGATGTCTGTAGAAACGTTTAGGTCAGCCACTCTATGAAGGCCCCTGCTGAGCGAGCGCACCTTTTGAAATCAAATGAGCAAGCTTTAGCAAGGGTCTGAATTTAGCCATGAGCTTGTAGACATCTTCTTCACGACGGACTACATCTCAGTCTGTCCTCTTGAGCTACAATCCAAACAAAACATGGTTGCTATGTTGTTGATGAGTTGCCGACGATGCTCATGGGGCTTCAATGCAAGGTAGCGAGGGCCACCTGCTGAACGCGGTCTGCCTGCTTCTGAAGAATTGCACGTGCAAAGCTCACTTCAAAATCAAAACTAACTAGACATCGAAAGGCGCACAGAACTGGGAGGAAGCACTCTCTTCTTCACGTAACTTCACCAATCGAGAGTCTATTCCAAGCCTGCAATTGGCCTCGCCATTGGACCCGAAAAAACATGTGTTTTCCCTTCCGAGCCCCAGCCGTGCGTGCGAGACCAACATTAATTTTCCGGCAGGTCACGATGATTGCTTCGCATCGCCGGCGCGTGCCGGGCCCAAGTGGCTGATCTGAAAGCGTTGTTGTTTTTGCAGGGTCTCAAAAGAGGGGGGCCGAAAAACTGGCCATCGCATATGTCGCGGAAGAACATGCAACGGACGCGGTCCATAATTTGATGAGTTGCACCCTGGCCGTTCAATAAATGTATATATATAAAACGAAGGGTCCACTCCAAATCCAAGACGCCCTGTCCATGACTCGACAAAAATACGTCCAGAATCATCCAAAGTACTCAGCAATCAGTAAGACCTCCCAGACAAACGGCAAAAGATGGACCTCAATGACGTCAACAAAAACGTCTGTGAGGACAACGACATGAGGCGGAGTCTACACTTGGGACCCGGGGAACCTGCCCTGTACCAGCAGGCCACATGTCACTCGGGGACACTGATTGCCAAGGAAACAACAGCTCAAAACTGGTGAGAAAAACTGTTCAAAATTGAAGAGCCAAATCTGGGCGCGAACCCATTCAGGGTTGCTCTTCCCAACGTCCCAGGTGACGTCGAGTCTTTTGCCTCGGGTCGACGGCAAAAGCAACGCTGTGGCTGCTCCACAGCTACAGCAAGTGGCTTCCTATTGACGCCTAGCATTCGAAGCGGCGGAGCATCAGCAGTGCAGGAACTCTGTATGTGGCTGTAAGTCAAAACCAGGTTACCTTGGTTGACCCACGTGGAAGGTCAGGCCATATGGTGTTGGGCCTTCACGAAGAGCATCTATACTCGCGCACGCTCCTTTCCCCTTGAACCAAAGTCGATCGAAATAAGAAATTTTCTGATTCCTAACTCTGGTAAATGGATCTGATCTGTGGATCTCTTCAAGTGACTTACAATAGGAGGATCCATCCTTTCCCGTGCTGATCTGAAAGTTATCAGCCGTATACAATGCAAACGAAAGCACTTGCCAAAAATTAAGGTTACATGCTACAGCTTGGCTCTCGTATTCGGGCCTTTACATATGAGAATTCCATTGAGCTCAACTCGAACGGAATACGGCTTGTACTGAATCCAGGCAACACGTTTCAGCATACTAGAAAGCGTGTACATCCAAACACGGATGGAGCTTCACACTCCAGGTTTTGACCAATCCCCAGATATACCAACTAGGAGGCTTTCGGATGCTCAGGAATCCCCTCAAAACCATGTGGACCTTTGGATAGCCACATATACTAACCCTAGGTCCAAATGACAATGCAACCCACACCTATGGCTCTCTGCAATCGAGGCCCAAACTAATATGGCAGGAACTCAGTATTGATCTCAAGCACTGCTGCCAGCACCAACACACTTGGAGTTCAGCATCTGCCGAGGAGTTATCACAGACGCTGCTCCAGGCGTGCAAACTGCTCCGGGCGTGCAAACTGCTCCGATCTTGCAGAACAGTTTCGCACCAGGCAAAATGATACCCCTTTTATTTTAGGGCCTCTGAAAGTCCCCCTTGATCCCCTTGCAACATATAGGCCTCTTGAAGTATTGACCAGAATCGGACGTGCAGAAGTGTCTTGAAATGTCTAATTCAAACGAGGGAAAAAGTCAGCACCGCTTCCTTACTTTCTGATTTTTCCGCAATAATCTTGAACAGCCGGCGGCCCAAGGGGTACAAGTGTCCTACGACCTAGCTGTACCAATCGGTCTTGCCTTGAGAAACAGAGGCAGAGGCCTGCGATATCGGATCTGGCTCGGACGAACCCCACCTGCGGTCAGAGTCCCTCTGGCTAACGCTACCATGACCCACACCCGCACCCTTCCATTTACTGGGTCGACATTTGTGGACTCGTATTTACTCTCTTCTGATTTCAAGATTCTCTTCCCCATGCTCTAGTCTTCTCTTCAGTAAGCCACGAAGCCACAAAAGACTCTTCTCTAGGGCGTTCGAAAGCGCGAGGAGCCTGGCTGCCTGTGCGCTTGAAGTTGCAGCTCAAGCTTGTGAGGGAGCACTTCACAGGCTTTGCTGGCTGTTGCTGCTCCGCATACAGTCTGAGGACGACCAAAAAATCGGCAGAGTTAGAGGACGGGAAATGGAGAGACGAAGACTGTACAGCCCATTACCGGGCAGACGTTTTGGGTGGTTTCATGTTCTACACCCCAGAACTAT